TCACCAGGCTTTGATCAATGTTTCCTTTGAGGGATCCAGCCCCAAGCGCGCTGGCACACTTAGCAACTGTATCTCTTTTGTGACAAGGCTGACCTCAGACTGCCGGACGCAGCTCTTCTTGCCAGTCCCTGGAGCCAGAAGACCATTTCCATAAAGACGTATGAGTGCTGGGATAGAGATACCCTGGTAGACAGGCTGTGGAGGTGCTGAGTCTTCTTTCTCAGGCAGTGCCCTTTGGGGGAGGAGTGAGTGGGGAGAACCCAGAAAGCTTGAGCGATAGCTAACAATTCACTTAAAGGGGATTCTTAGAAAGGGGAGTTAACTAACTTTATTTGGTGACAAGATAGCTGGCTCTAATATCCCTAGCCGCTGTCCTCACCCATGATCTGTTTGACCTTCTTGCTAAATGACAAACTAGATCAAGCCCTGTGTCTGTCCCCACATTGATCTCTGGCCAAAGGAAGTGGTGTTCCCTGGCAGAAGTTTGCGATTTTTATTTCTTGAAGATGTAGGAAGGAAGTATTTTCAGATGTATAGACAGAGGATGAGAAGCTGAGCCAGAAATCAACAGAGTCCTAGAGCTTTCATATCTGCCATTCTCAGGATGTGAGGACAGGCCCTCTGCAGGGACAGAAAACATGAAGTAAGGATTTGCCAAGCTCTCCTCCTCTCCCTGAAGGGTCTTCAGTTCTGTTCATGTATTTGGGTACTGTTGTGGACTGAATTGTGTGCCTGTCCCCCAAATTCATACGTTGAATCCCTAACCCTCAAGGTGACGATATTTGGGCTAAGGAGTTTTGGAGGTAATTAGGTGTCCATGAGGTCATGAATGTGGGGTCCTCATGCTGGGATTCTTACAAAGCCCTTGTAGGAAGGGATACCAGAGAGCCGATTCCTCATGCCACCAGGTGTGGACACAGTGAGAAGGTGCCATCTGCAAGCCAGGAAGTGAACCCTCCCCGGGGAAAGGGCTTGGCTGGCCCATTGACCTTGGGCTTCCCAGCCTCCAGAATGGTGGGAGGTAAATGCCTGTTGCTTAAGCCCCCAGGCTGTGGTGTTATGGCAGCCCAAGCTGACTGATGCAGACACCGACGATGTGAAATCCTACAGTAGGCCAGCTGTTGGAGGGTAATCTCGGACCTGGGACTAGCATCAAGGCTTTTGTTCCTACTACTACTTAATACTTAGTGATCACTGTGATCCAAGTGCCGATCTAACAGTACCACAGGTACTACTTTATTTAGTTTCAAACAACCCCCTGAAGTAGGTGCTCCATTTTATTTATTTATTTTTTTAATTTTATTTTATTATGTTATGTTAGTCACCATACATTACATCATTAGTTTTAGATGAAGTGTTCCATGATTCATTGTTTGCTATAACAACCAGTGCTCCATTCAATACGTGCCCTCCTTAATACCCATCACTGGGCTAACCTATCCCCCCACCCCGCTCCCCTCTAAAACCCTCAGTTTGTGTCTCAGAGTCCATAGTCTCTCATGGTTCGTCTCCCCCTCCGATTTCCCCCCCTTCATTTTTCCCTTCCTACTCTCTCTCTCTCTCTCTCTCTCTCTCTCTTTTTTATTTTAACATATACTGTATTATTTGTTTCAGAGGTACAGGTCTGTGATTCATTAGTCTTACACGATTCCCAGTGCTCACCATAGCACATACCCTCCCCAATGTCCATCACCCAGCCACCCCATCCCTCCCACCCCCCACCACTCAGTTTGTTTCCTGAGATTAAGATTTCCTCATATCAGTGAGATCATATAATTGTTTCTCTGATTGACTTATTTCGCTTAGCATAATACCCTCTAGTTCCATCCACATCATTGCAAATGGCAAGATTTTTTTTTGATGGTTGCATAATATTCCATTGTATATATATACACCACATCTTCTTTATCCATTCATCTGTTGATGGACATCTTGGCTCTTTCCATAGTTTGGCTATTGTGGACATTGCTGTTATAAACATTGGGGTGCACGTACCCCTTCAGATCACTACATTTGTATCTTTGGGGTAAATACCCGGTAGCGCAATTGCTGGGTCGTAGGGTAGCTCTGTTTTCAACCTTTTGAGGAACCTCCATACCGTTTTCAGAGTGCCTGCACCAGCTTGCATTCCCACCAACAGTGTAGGTGGGTTCCCCTTTCTCCGCATCCTCGCCAACATCTGTCGTTTCCTGACTTGTTAATTTTAGCCATTCTGCCTGGTGTGAGGTGGTATCTCATTGAGGTTTTGATTTGGATTTCCCTGATGCCGAGTGATGCTGAGCTAGGTGCTCCATTTTAAAGATTAGGAGAGTGAGGTGCAGAGAGCTTAACTTACCCAAATGTCCTAGGCTGAAGAGTGGCCCCCTGAAAGATAGCCTCCTCCAAATCTCCAGAACCTGTGAATGTTACTTGATGGCAAAAGGATCTTTGCAGATGGGATTAAATTAATGATTTTGAGGTGGGGAGATTATTCTGAATATCCAGGTGGGCCCTGATGTAATCACAAAGGTCCTTATAAGGGGGAGGCAAGAAGGTCAAAGGAGGAAGAAGGCAATGGGGTGGAGGCAGCAGAGATTGGTGTGATGTGGCCACGAGCCAAGGAATGCTGGCAGCTTCTAGAAGCTGAAAGAGGCAAGGGATGGATTCTCTTCCAGAGCCTTCAGAAAGAACCAGCTCTGCTGAGACCTTGATTTTATCTCCATAAGACAAATTTCAGGCCCTTGTCCACCAGAACTGGAAGAGAATACATTTATATTGCTTTAGGCTACTCAATTTTTGGTAATTTGTTACAGCAGCAATAGGAAACCGACACACCAAGGTGACATAGTTAATATGTAGACACTGTGAGGAGCCATTATTTTCTATTTCGTGTTATTATTTCTGCAATGTCTGAATAAAGTAAGCTTTGAATTTACCTAGATCCCAGCAGCAGAATACGCCCTGAGCCCCACAAAGGAAGAGTCCCATGGAATTTAAAGAAATGTCTTTTAAAGACCCCACAACCTTTTGGAAAATTCATTTATCCACATGGCCGTGTGTGTGAGTGTGAGCGTGAGTGTGTGTGTGTGTGTGTGTGTGTGTGAGGTGTAAAGAATAATAAGAAAATGTAAAACAGGAAGCTGTGGCTTTGTGCACGTTCATCTCTCTGCTTCTGACCGTGTGGAGGGAGCAGCATCCTGGAGCAAGAGGGCTACTTCAGGGGGGTGCAGGTGGGGACCAGCAGCAGACAGACAGGTGGCCCACAGCACAGCTGCGAGTGGAAGGGCACTCTCAACAATGAGGAGAGTGGCTAAGTGAACAATACAGCAGAGATATGGGGCAACTCTGTTCCTAGCCCAAATCTTCTAGAGGGAGATCACTCCTAAGTTAGGGTTCCGGATGGGACGGATATGAGCTGGATGCTCCTCTTTGGCCAATGGTCTCAAGGCTGTTACCATTTGAGACCTGCATCCTTAGTCCCTATGGCATCCATGGATTCTGCCTCAATGACTCCCCTGTTCCCTCTAGGGAACTTACCAGTGTACCTGAGCATAATACCTGGAGAAGCAATTAGCTGACCAGGAAAACATCCAAAGCGGCTCTGGCTGGGCAAGTTTCATTTAAGGAATATGTAGAATGAAATGAAACTGGGCAATGGGAGAGATCTTTTGAGCAGGAGATACTGTTCTGGGTCTCCTCTAGACTCCTACGTATCCAGTCTTATCAAGATCAACTTCATGGATAGGTGACATGTACAGTTGCACAGGGCCGTATGCTTAGAAGGGTTTAATGCTCTATTGACGTCATCTTGAAATTCTTTTTCTTTCTTTCTTTCTTTCTTTCTTTCTTTCTTTCTTTCTTTCTTTCTTTCTTTCTTTCTTTCTTTCTTTCTTTCTTTCTTTCTTTCTTTCTTTTTTAAAGAAAGGACCTGGTATTTTCATTTTGTGCCAGACCTTGCAAATTACAAAGCTGGTCCTGGTCTGTGCCCTTATTGGAAGTTGGAAAACAGTTACCTGGGGCTCTCCGAGTCATTAACACCAATAATTGGTCCAATGATAAGGACCAATAATATAGTCACTAACACCATAATTTCCAAATCTAGCTGCTTCCGTCCACGGGTAGCTAGCCCATTGTCCACTATTTCCTGCCACATTTAGTCTTCTTAGTACCTGCCTTCAGGCTTGAACAGTGACTAATCCAATGTCTCCATGTAGTGAACCAAAGTATATAATGAAAAGCATAATATTTCTGTGGTGACGCAATAGACAATTGGAGCAGTTGGTCGGTCGACCATGACAGCTTTGACAATCTGCCTCTCATCTCAAAGTTGCCAGAGCAGGTTGGAGTGAGACACTGGGTAAATCTGGGAAAATCCATCTGTGCCTGGGTCTAGGGTAGGGAGAGGTCGAAAGGTTGGAGGGGCCAGTTGAGTCTGCTCCCTGGGTGCATCTTTCCTAGTCAGGTCATGCATGTTGTCAGGCTCAAAAGAGCCATATGAAGAAGACTAGAGGTTTGTGGTCATTGAAAGACTTTTTCCAGGCCACATCTTCTTTTTCTCTTGGCTCTTTTGGCTTTGTACCTGAATGCTAACGATTTTTGAATGAGTAACTTGAGACCTTCATGAAAGACTATACTAAAAACCCATATCATACAATCCCTGGGAAGTATCCCCAGGCTCTAAATTTGGAAACACAAAGCCACATATCTGAGTTCCTTCTTTCCAGAATCACCCGAAAGTCTCCCACTCTATCTGGGGAAGATGATCAGACACTGTGGCTGGCTCTGTGTGCATGATTTGGGTCATTTAGAAAGGGCCTTTTGATCCACCACTATAACCCCACACAACAAATATAGCTTTGGAAATTTTGGTGTGAAAACAGGCACACGGAGAAAAAGGTTTCAACTTGGCCAAACTAAAGCAGCCCCCGAATTATGGGACAATATTTCTGTCTCTTTAAAGGCACACTCTTCCTTCACTAGCTCCACCCAATCAGAACTTCCTGGCTCAGAGGTTTCAAAGGGTACAAACACTTTTTCCTTACAGTTAAAGCAAAAGCACCAGCTCAAACAGCTTCTTTGGAAAAAACCCTGAGAACTCATCATCTCTTCCAAAGGTGAGCCTGGCCTCAGAGCGATGTGGAGCCGTGAGATGCAGCGGGACACAGGGGTATGCATGGGGTGGACTCTGGTCTGTGCCAAGCAGCCCAGCAAGGAGGATGCTGCCAGAGGGTAGTGGTGGAGGCTAGGGTGGGAATAAAGAGACCGATTTGCCCAATGTCGCGTGTCTCGTATTTACAGGACAAACTTGCTGAAAAACACCCCTTGCATCAGTTGCTGTTGTGACAGACATTGAGCGCCATCCATTTCCCTTAATGGGAAATTAGTGTCCTCAAGGTCGGTCTTTAGAGCCGGAAGGCAATTTAAAGACCACTGAGTCCGAATCCCTCTTGTTCCTGAAAAAGGATCTGAATCCCAGGCTGTGTGAATGTGGTTTCATTAATCTCCCAGGGGTACCTTAGTCACTAATGGCAAACTGAGGACCTTCGTCACTCAGCAAACTGAGTAAGGACTCAGCAACATTTAAGGAGCGCAGCTGTGTGATGGACAGTGTAGCAGATGAGGTGAGGAGGAGTGCCGTGGGGGTGGAGAGGTAGCTATTCTACACACACAGTGTGTCTGAAACCCTTTTGTTACCTTCCCTAATTCCAGGCTTACTACCACTTCACTGTTTCTGGAAAGAGTCAGTGCTGTCTCCCTTGGTCTCCCCTGATCTATTTCTGATTCAATGTAAGTGGAAATGTAGGGAATCAAGGACCAGGAAGGACCCAGGAAGAGACCATGGTGTGCAGAGGTTATTATGCATGAACATGGTGGTCAGACAGTCTTTGAATTGGATCCCCCCTCTGCCCAATGCCTATTAGCACTGTGACCTTGGGCAAGTCTGTCAGCATTTCGGAGCCGCATCAATTTCCTCATGTAAACAATTAGAATAGGGGTGCCTGTCTGGCTCAGTCAGAAGAGCCTGTGTGTGACTTTTGATCTCAGGGATCGTGAGTTCGTGCCCCACATTGGGTGTAGAGGTTACTTAAATAAAAAATAAATAAACTTTAAGAATTAGAATAAGAAAATTGGCTTCCTTGCAGGTAATTTTGGGGAGTAAAGAAGAGAATGTACAAAACCTATTTACCAGGGTGCTTGGTATAGAGTATACATTCAGTAGTTGCTAAAGTACGAAGAAGTTAAATTTTTTATTGTGGGAAAATTTTTTTTTACTTCTTTTTTTTTTTAAAGATTTTATTTATGTATTTGATAGAGCACAAGCAGGTGGAGGGGCAAGCAGAAGGAGAGGGAGAGGGAAGGGGGAGGGAGAAGCAGGTTCCCCGCTGAGCAGGGAGCCAGATGTGGGACTCAAACCCAGGCCCTGGGATCATGACCTGAGCCGAAAGCAGACGCTTAACGACTGAGCCACCCAGGCGTCCCCAATTGTGGGAGACTTTTAACTCATTCAAAGATAAAGGCAACTTCCCTGTACCTTCAACAATTATCAATTTGTGTAAGTCTTGTTTCGTCTACAAGCCCCTCCTACCCATCCCAGATTATTTTGAAGCAAATGTCAGACGCTCTATCGCTTTATCAGTAAATATTTGAGTATGTATGTCTGAAAGAGAAAGACCATTAAAAATATGACTTCTTCAGACTTTGAAAAGCAATTAGAAATTTTTAAAAAATTACCAGATGTATTCAGATTCCCCAATGGTCTCATAATTTTAAAAATTGTTTGGAAATCAGATCCTAATAAGGTTCATAAATTGCAATTATTTGATATCTCTTAAGTTTCACTTAATGTGAAAGTTTCCACCTTCCTGTTTCTGTCTGTGAAATTTTTGTTGTCGTTGTTTAAGAAAGGGGCAGTCTTTTGTCCAACAGAGTTGGACAGTGTACCATTTTGTTGATTAAATCCTCGAGATGTCCTTGAACATGCTCTTCTAGTTTCAATGTTTTGTATGAATTTATATTTAAGGAGAGGCTTGATCAGATTAAGGTTTTCCTCGTTTTTGGGGTGGGACTATTTCATAGTAGCCGTTGTAAACATACATCGGAAGGCACATTATGTTCGCTTCTCTCTCTTCCTGTGATTTAGCAGACACTAATGACAGCCTAGTAAAATGGTTTCATTAAGGGTCACAAATTATGATATTCTAATTCTATCATTCTTTCTTCATTTATTAGATGGAATAACCTTATGAAAAGAACTTCCCCTCAACAGTTCTTTCATTTCCATGAGGTCCAGTTATATAACACAAAAGACATGCTTGATTCTTTCCCTTTATCTGTCCATGTTCAGAATGATGGAATTATTTCCTAGCATACCCCAAAAGGAACAATTGACTTCTTTAAATATGATGATATTGTTATGAATTTGTGGATTTCAACATATTTGATCTATTTCAATCCATTGGAAATATTATTCTATGGATCCTCAAATTGCCCCATCTGTGTCAGAGCTTCTTCAAGTTGACTCTTTAGTCCTTTTGATAAGATTCGGGCAATTTTTTATTTTATTATTTTCTTAAAGATTATTTATTTATTTATTTGACAGAGAGAGACACATCGAGAGAAGGAACACAAGCAGGGGGAGTGGGAGAGGGAGAAGCAGGCTTCCCGCCGAGCAGGAAGCCCAATGCGGGGCTCGATCCCAGGACCCTGGGACCATGCCCTGAGCCGAAGGCAGACGCTTAATGACTGAGCTACACAGGGGCCCCTGGAGTAATTTTTTAAAGTAATCTCTATACCCAGTTTGACCCTGAGATCAAGAGTTGCATGCTCTGCCGACTGAGCCACCCAGGCGCCCCATGGTCTGAGTAATTTTTGGTAGTATCCTTGCTTTATAGTATGACGAGACAGCCTAGGATCCACTTGCACATTTCCTAGCCCAGACTGGGATCAGTACTTTTTCCTAAGAGTCCTAGTGTTTTTAGTGGGAAACGGCATTTGAAGAGCACAGTATGGGCACTCAGGATGCTCTTTGCCACTGGGCTTGTCACTGGCCTTCAAAACTACACACACACACACACACACATACACACAAAGCTAAGAACAAGATAGGATTCCCGAAAACAATTTCAGATTATTTTTGGCAGGTTTCTTTCCCTTTTTGACCTTATGGTATATTCCACTATGGATGGACAATGAAATTACTGCATTTTCAAGTTTCTTTGGCCAATTATTTGTGTGCTTTATCCATCACACCAAATACTATGTGTCATTTGCTTTTGATTTTTATGAGTATTATTTTAAATTATTTATTTATTTATTTATTTAATGTAGGCTCCACGCTGGAGCCTAATATGGGGCCTGAACTCATGACCCTGAGATTAAGACATGAGTTGGATGCCTAACGAACTGAGCCACCCAGGCGCCCCTTACTAGTATTTTGAGATATAGTTTTTGTTGTATAGTTATATAAACTATTTACAGGTTTCCCCTACTATCTGAAAGCAGAATGCTCCTATAAAATCTTTCATAAACCAAAATGCAGAGAAACAATTACCATTAATTTATAGGGGAACATTTTTTCGGTATTCCCAGATCCCCGCCAAATCACCTCCCTCTGCATTTCTGATGGCTTTCGACACAACTTGCTGACCAATGCACAGAATCAGTTGAGGTAAAGCCCGCATGCTCACATGGTTCAGAGCTCTGGCAGCTGGATGCTGAGATGCTGTGTGGGGTTCCTGGGAAGGGGCTCGGCAGCATCATTCTCACGGCCCAAGAGGTTGCTGCCTCTCACGTCACTCATCTCAATGTAAAACAGACGCTGAACACTGTTTTTGCTTTCAGCACTTTTTGTAAAAATGAAAATCCTCTTTGAATTTACTTTGGCTAGCAAAAACAGGTCCACGTGTAGGTGTTTCATAAAAGCAAAGTGATGTAATTCGAGCTTTGTTTTTTTAATTTTTGAAAAGATTTATTTATGTATTTATTTATTTATTTGACAGAGAGACCGAGAGCACAAGCAGGGGAAGCAGCAGAGAGAGAGGGAGAAGCAGCTCCCCCAGAGCAGGGAGCAGTTTTTATACTTTTTAGACCAAGAGACAGTGAATCTGGGAGGAATTGACAAGACAAAGAAAACTTAACCTTTGGGAGCTTCGATTAGTAAGGAATTCTAAACAGACTTTGGGCTGGGGTAGTAAGTGAGTAAAAAGTGACAAGAGTTGTCTGTACAGCTTCTTGGCTCCAAATCTCCCATCTCTGGTCATAAGGATGTCTCTTTAGCTCCTGGGACAGGGAGGGCATCCTTCACATGGGAGATTAGTTTCCGACTTGCAGGGGGACAGAGGAGGGTCTGGGTGTCCTTCTTGCTCAGGCTGTTTCTTTAGTAACTTTTATTGAAAATAATCAGCATGCCGAAGTGGCACATTTTGGGGTGGTCTGTCCTCATACAGGCATATATCCTAAAATTGGGACTAATACTCCAAGGATAAATGCACATGTACTTTGACAAGATAGTGCTAACTTCTCCTCTGTAGGTTTTGGACTGTTTTTCCATTCCCATTAACCATGGAGAAGAGGACCTATTTCCTCTAAACCTTTACCAACAGATTATATCAGCAAACTTTTGGATTTTTGCCAAACTTGTAGGTGAGAAATAGTATCTCAGGGTAATTTGAATTGCTTTAATTTAGTTATTTTGTTTTTTCTATGTTTGATTTCTTCTTCTGTATTCTAAGTGAATGTTCATATATTTTCATATATTCAAGGGTATTTATACTTTGTCCTTTGAACTGCTTATTCATATGTCTTACTCCATTTTCTATCAAGCTGTTGGTCTTTTGTTTCTCTACTTTTAGGAATTCTCTGTATAATAGGCTAATTTTCTCTTTTATTCATCATTATTCTTTGTATAGTAGGAAAATCAACCCTCTTTGATATCGGCGGAAAAAATTTTCCCTCAGTTTGACATTTGTGTTTTAATGTCTGTAGTGTTCTTTGCCTCACATTATCTTTTAGATTTTTATGTAATCAAATTTATGAGTCTTTTTCCTTACTCTCTTAAAAATCTTAGAAATATTTTATCCACTCCAGGTTACCAAGAATTTACCCACATTTCTTCTAGTATTTATATGGATTATTTTTTACGTTTAGATTTCTAATCTATTTAGAATTTGAATGGCATAAGAAAGTGGATGCAGTTTTGTGTTTTTCTGTATGGTTTTATAGTTATCTCAGTGCTGGTTATTAGTCCGTCTTCCCCCCCACCCTCCCGCCATTGATGTGAGATGCTGCCTTATTGAATATAAATGTAACATAATATAATTGAATTGAATATTCATGAATGTAGTATGATCAATTTGGTCTGTTTCTGAATTTTCTGGATTGGTTTCACTGTTCTGACTCTCTGTTCATGCACTGACATCACAACGCCTTAAATATAGAGGCTAAAATGCTTTATACTCTGGTAGAGCCAGTCCTCCCTCGTAGTTCTTACCTTTCTTGATTGTCCAGGATAATTTTCTTTTTCATTCATCCAAATGAATTTTATTTTTTTTAAAGATTTTATTTATTTGACAGAGAGAGAGACAGCTAGAGAGGGAACACAAGCAGGGGGAGTGGGAGAGGGAGAAGCAGGCTTCCCACAGAGCAGGGAACCCGATGCGGGGCTCGATCCCAGGACCCTGGGATCATGACCTGAGCCGGAGGCAGACGCTTAACTACTGAACCACCCCGGCGCTCCCCAAATGAATTTTATAATCAACTCTTCTAGCTGCAGTGGAAAATAAGTGGTGACAAAAAATTTTAAATTTATATGTATATAAAATCACATTAAAGAAGTATCTAATAACTCAAATGTTATGACATGATTTAAACATGAATTAGTATTGCATTTGGTGAAATGTCTTTTCTGCATCTAGGTATTTTTATTCTTAATCTATTCATGAGAATGTGTTGTAACAACCCATTTTCTCATATTGAAGCACCCTAGGATTTCTGAAATAAATCACATTTAATCATGGTGTGTTACTTTTTAGTGTCTAATAATTTATTTAGGATTTTGTATTAGTATTCACAAATGAGACAGGTCTGTAGCTTTATTTATTGGTGGGATCTTTGTTAGTCTTCGGAATCAGTATCATACCTATGTCATAGAAAGAATCAAAAGTTTTCCTTCTTTTTAAATCATCAGGAATAGCTTAAGATGCACAGAGTTTCTTAGATCTTTAAGGGTAGAAGTGAGTTCCCCATGAAACCACCTGGACCTGGTACTCTTTGGTGTGGAAACTCTTTAACTATTTTATTATTTCTTCCATGGTGATTGAACTGTTTCATCTTTCTGTCTTTATGGGATCCACATGGATAGTAGACCACTACACATTTTCAAGGAGGAACAGAAAGGAGAAAAGAGGGGGTAATGTTTTCCACTTACTTCCATTGACCCATTTTCTTCTCCTTCCCTTCCTTAAGGTCTGCGGATACCTAAGCCCTGGAGCCTCCTGATACTGACATGGCTCACTTGCAGAACAGGAGTCTGAGGATTGTTCTGGTAGGGAAAACAGGAAATGGGAAGAGCGCAACAGCAAACACCATCCTTGGGAGAAAAGAATTTGAATCTAGAATTGCTGCTCACGCTGTTACCAAAAATTGTCAAAGAGCATCCCGGGAATGGAAGGGGAAGAATCTTCTTGTTGTTGACACCCCGGGGCTCTTCGACACCAAGGAGACCCTGGAAACCACCTGCAAGGAAATCAGCCGTTGTGTCCTCTACTCCTGCCCCGGGCCCCACGCCATCCTCCTGGTTCTGCAGCTGGGCCGCTATACAGATGAAGAGCAGAAGACCGTGGCATTGATCAAGGCTCTCTTTGGGAAGCCAGCCTTGAGGCACATGATCATTTTGTTCACTCGCAAAGATGACTTGGAGGGTCAGAGCCTAAGTGACTATATAGCAGACGCAGATGTGACCCTCAGGAGCATCATCCAGGAATGTGGGAACCGCTGCTGTGCCTTCAACAACAGAGCCACGGAAGCCGAGAAGGAAGCCCAAGTGCAGGAGCTGTTGGGGCTGATAGATGAGATGGTGTGGAGCAAAGTCGGGGCTTACTTTTCTGATGACATTTACAAGGATACAGAGGAAAAGCTGAATCAAAAGGCAGAAGTCCTGAAGAAAATCTACACTGATGAATTAAAGAATGAAATTAAACTAGTAGAAAGAGAATATGCTCATAAATCACAGCAAGAACGAGAGGCAAAAATAAAAGCGCTGAAGATGAAGTATGATGAAAAAATAAAAAATCTAAGGGAAGAAGCTGAGCAGGGTATATTTGCAGAGGTTTTAAATGGGATTATGAAGGTGCTTTCAAAAATATGGCATGTATTTTGGTAGTCATGTCAATTTCACTTTTGCTCCTGAATTTACTGTGATTTGTAATAGCGGTAGACTGTATTTTCCAAAGATGGCTTTGACAATATATTCTATCCTACTTATTCTTCTTACAATCTGACTTCATGACTTCTCCCACTAAGTTGCGGGGTCTATGTCGCCTACTTTGGAATTGGATGGACTTTGTGACTGTTTTGATAAATTACAGATGGTTGAAGCAACCCCTTGGGACTCTAAGGCTAGACACGGAAAATGCCCCCTGCCCCGCTGGGGTGCTTGCCCTTGGAAATGGGCCATCATGGTGTGAGAAAGGCCATGTTGCCCATTGAGAGGCTCCCAGCTTGGCGTCGCTGGCCAGCTCCCCTTTTATCTTCTTCTATCTTTTATCTTCCAGCTGGACCAACTTGCTAGCCATACAAGCAAGGTGACATGGAAGCAGGTTCTCCACCTGCCCCACCACCTCAGACAGAGTTGCCAAGAGCAAAGATGAGCAATCCCCACTGAGTCCTGCCCAAGTTGCAGATTGATGAGAAAAAAATAAATGGTGGTTGCTGTTTTAAGCCACCGAACTTCAGAATGGTTTGTTCTGCAGTGACAGCTAACCAGAATGAAACCTCTTCCCAGCTTGGTCCCCACCACCGCCCATTCCCCGCCGTCCCTCTTCACAGTGCCGACAAACGTAAGAAGTTACAAAATTGGCATCCTCAGGCAATGAGATATAGACTTGAAGGACTCAGTTTAGGAAAATTCAAATCGAAATCCCGCATACGTTACGTGTGCACGCCCCTCGGGGCATGTGCTGCTGCAGGGCTGGTCTATGAGTAATTTGTTAGTGAAGCATCGGGTTTCTCTGGAAAGCTGCTTCTGTCGTTCACGGAGATCTAGAAGTTGGTAGATTCTCTTAATGCTTTTCTCTCTTTTCTTTTTTAGGTCCCATCCTAACTGAAAATGTGTCTGACTGTAACTAAAAATCTCTTCTGTGCCAAATATTTTTCACTGGCCTCTGCAGACCCACACTTCCGCCTTCTTCACCCTAGCTCTCTGCCCCAGGAGGCCGATCTCAATGGACTACATTGGTGGGATCTCCTGCTCTCTGACTTCTGCTTGGCCTGGCCAATGGGAAGTCCAAGTAGGAGACCCCAGGGGAGTAGAAAAGCAAGGCTGGGTCTTCGTTCTCCTGCCTCTCTCCCTGCAGGGCCATCTCTGATCAGCCACAACCCTAAGCCAATGGCGAGAGCTCCTCCCAAGACAGCCTCTCTACCCAACTCACCTTCTGGGTTCCAGTCTTTGTTCACCCCCTTAGGGTTGGGATATCATCTTCTCACCATTACTAGCACTCCCCCTTGTCGTTTCCAAAGCCCTGTATCCACAGTTTGTAGGAAGTCCCTTCTCTAGAACTCCCCGCGGGACCTGATGAGAGTAAGCCATCTTTTTGCTGCTAGAATTCTGATTGATAAATCTTAGGAGTCTCACTTTTCTTTCAGAGCATTCCCTGATCTTTATGGCTGTTGTTGGTTTGAAATTCCCTCTAGTCTTTTCTGCCACCAGAAAAATCGCTTCCTTCCCCTTCCGAGCTGTGACATGGGCAGTGAGTATTTGAAAGGTTGTGTCTTGCTAAAAGAATTGAGAAAGTTCGAAGTTGGAGGGGTGACTTTCTATCATTTACAGTGATGGCAGACATCCCAAATTCAAATCATCAGAATTTTTTTTTAAAGATTTTATTTATTTGAGAAAGTGAGAGCCAGAGAGCAGAAGTGGGGTGAGAGAGCACGAGCAAGGTGAAGGGCAGAGGGAGACGTAGACTCTCCACTGAGCAGGGAGCCCCATGTGGGGCTCGATCCTGGGACTCCAGGATCATGACCTGAGCTGAAGGCAGATGCTTAACGACTGAGCCACCCAGTCGCCCCCAAATCATTGGAATTTTTACAGTCGTCTTTGTTTTGACTATGAACACGACTAAGAGTATCTACTGTATCAATGAAGTTTAGGGAGACGGATTAGAGATTAAGTCTGGAAAAAATAAGATCCTAAATCTCTGCTCATCACAAGTATTAAGAATGGAGTAAAAATGACACGGAAGAAAAAAAACTCTCATAAGCAAACATATTCATAACATATGTCAAATAACACCGCTGGACCAAACTGCTCTTTGCCTTCATGCAATTCTTATATTCAAAAATACTTCCTTGTGAGCGACTCATCTGTGCAGTAGTATTTATGCCGTGTCCTGATGTTTTTTCATTTAAAAACCATTTAAAAGGCATTTTCCCTCAGAGATGTGCAGAAGCATTATGAATTCAATTAACCTGTGTTAAGGCCTATTGAACATGCAACTTCTGTGAGCTGATTTCTTTTCTCTCAGCCTTATATTCTATTTTGGAAGGTAAGACATACCTAGAAGAAAAAAGGAGTAAATCAAATAAATCATTATCTTTTTACTTGACAAATGAAATATCGCTCACTCATCTTAACCTATTTTATAACCGAGTTTTCTCTGAGTGCTGAGGACTCTGGAAGTTCCAGCCTTTAATGTGTGCATGATCCCCGTTATTGAAACATGTGCTAGCCATGATCCATAATGCCGAATTTAAACTAGGATTTATAGAGGAAGACCTGAGGAAGAATTCAGGGCTTGACGTCTACTGTGAAGGATGTGTGGGATGCGTCCACGTGGGTGATGGGTCCGACGACCATGCTTCTTTCCAGAAATAGGAAACTTAAGGGTGACAAGTAAGGTTGTCAGGGGAAGGGTAGAGTCAGGAGCAATAGCGTTCAGTTAGGTTTGTGCCAAGTTGAATATCAGTTGTCAAAGGTAGGGTCCAATGTAAATGATCTGCATTAACTTGAAATTTGGGTCTGAAGATTATGTGAAAGGCTTGGGGTGAATGGGGCAGGATAGTAATATAAATATCTCCCTCAATTGCAGCTGAGTCTTCAATAATTGCCAATATCCCCACAGTCCAAAGCTAGATGCTAGAAGATCCGTACAGGACTTGCAAAGGAAGGAGCAAGAACCAGTTTTGTGAGGTTTAGTTCTTCAACTAATTTGATAGGTATTTGAAGGGGTCAAGAGGAAAAGTTTTTGTTTTTTGTTTTTTTTTAAGATTTACTTAATTGAGAGAGAGAGAGAAGGTGAGTGGTGCACAAGTTGGGGGAGGGGCACAGGGAGAGGGAGAATCCTGAAGCAGTCCCTGCCGAGCAGGGAGCCCGACTTGGGGCTTGATCCCAAGACCCTGAGATCATGACCTGAGCCAAAATCAAGAGTCAGACACTCAACTGACTGAATCATCCAGGTGCCCCAGATTTTTTTTTTTAAGTTTTAAAAAACAGAAAGAGAGAGTGTCTATGGTCTACAATTTCTATTAATCCCTTTTCTACAATGATTAGCCTATGTCCAGTTGGCCGTCTTGAATTTGAAATCCCTGATCTCTTGTTAAATAGAAATAAAATATGGTAAGAATGTGCAAACGACTTTTACATATTTATATTCACACACCATCATTTGTGGCCGTTCACAACTTGTAAAAAGAAATTCTAATTCCAAGTACAAATTGTTACTACTTCAAATAAGCAATAATAAAATGAATAAAAAATCAACCTCCGAAGTTTTCTGTAAGCAGTCTGGGCTTTTAAAGCTCCACCGTCAGGACTCTGAAGGTCAGAGTCAGGCAGGACAGCCTGCCCTGGCCATTTCCCTCAGCTCAGGTCAGAGCTGGGACGGTCCTTCATTAGGCGTCTGTGGCAGGGCTGGGTAGCGGGCATGCACCTTGCACCTTAACCTCGTACGTATCCTGTGAAGTGCCCGCAACTCCATGAGGCGGGTGAGATAAGAACGGAGCAGGATATGGTTGTGGGGAAGACAGGAAAGAAGTGCGGTCGTGCACAGGTAAATTTACAACAAATTTGTGTTCTTGGGAGAAGTTCTTGTGAGAAGCTTGTGGGTGTTCTTGTGAGAGGCTTCTGAGGGCCGGGCTGACATCGACCGTGGACCACACACTTCCTGGGGGCTGTACTGTGAGGTGTGTAGGAGTCATCCTCTGCTCTCTTTCCTACGTAATTTCTCTTTTTCCAAATATTTTTGTGCACTCCACCAACTGTGCCGGCCGGGTGCCCACCGATTTCTTTTCTTTTCCTTTTAAAAATTTTATTTATTTATTTATCATTTTATTTATTTATTTGAGAGAGAGTGCGAGCGGGGGGTGGGGTGCAGGGGCAGAGGGAGAAGCAGACTCCCCGCTATGAGCCCAGGGATCATGACCTGAGCTGAAGGCAGACGCTTCACCGGCTGAACCACACAAGCGTCCCTCCACTGACTTCTTCACAGTCAGGAGGAAGCCAGGAAAACAGTGGAGGCAGATTTTCAGTGTGCTAAGAGAAAATAACAGCCAGCCTGAAATCCTGCACTCAGGGAAAATAGCCGTCAAAAATGAGAGCAAAGTACACACATTTCAGGGGCGCCTGGGTGGCTCAGCGGGTTCAGCATCTGACTTCGGCTCAGGTCGTGAACCTGGGTGTTGTTACAAATGTCAGCCATAATAGGGAATTCCCTATATGTAGTGATCCTTGTAACCCCAATAAGGAATATCTAAGTAATGGCTTGGGGGTTTAATAGTACTTAAAATTTCGATTTGGATCATATTTTACATCAATCTCTGCTCTCACTCCCACACTTAAATAAAGAATGATACAAACCTTCTGGCTGGGCTTATGCTTAGTAACAGAATATAATCCTACCCTTTCTCTCTTTAAATCACTTCGGAATCACAGACATGTGTTTACACCCTGCCTATTCTTTTGACTTGCTTTTTTTGCCTATCTCACCCAACGGCTGAGTCGTCCTTGTTGTTTGGGTTATATTGTTCTAGAATGTTCTTTATCCTCACTCCTAGTGCACAGTTTATTCCATTGCCCTGTCTCCTGTTTAGGAGTAGTTACCCTGTGCCTGTATGCACAAGGCCGACCACATACTATCCTCAGAGATATTTATGTCTTCTATTTTCTCTCTTTGGAATTGTTAGCAGTTTGTATAATTACTCAAGTGTTACGCAACTTGAAATAAAGTCTCAGTTAGGCGGTGTAATTGTAAATTGGCACCTCTTTCATAACGGAATCCATGTCTCTAGGGAACTGGGATCCATGCTGCTCACCACCGCCCCATAGTCTCACAGTTTACATTTTCATGACAGATAGTGTCAGATGTCAAGGATTAGCCTATTGCAAATGGTCTGAGCACCATCTCGCAGGGTGACTCTGGACCCGTCTCATTAGTTAAAAGCAGATCAGTTACCCTCACTTGCTTCAAGCAGATGAGACCTTGGAAATTGCAACTGTCTCTCCCCCAGTCACTGGGAGGGAGGAGAGGAGGTAGGGCTGCTTATGCTGATACAGGCCTAAAGCTCTAGGGGCAGGTGTTGGGCTGCAAGGCCTGATGTGCTGAGACGTGGGGTCCGGGACCGCAGGCTTTTCGGAATAGCTGGCAGCCTCTGGTTTCAACTCAGCGGTTTTTCCAGAATGTCACAGCATAAACCATATTTTATCCCTCACGGCAGAGCGTTTGCATGGCTGAATAAGGTAGCTACTAGGCAGATGTGGCTATTTAACTTTAAATTAATTCAAATGGGGTACCTGGCTGATTCCATCAGTGGAGCTTGCAACTCTTGATCTTGGGGTCGCACGTTTGAGCTCCCCATTGGGTGTAGAGATTACTTAAAAATAGAATCTTTAAAAATATTAATACAAATGAAGTAAAATTAAGAATTCGGTTCTGCAATCACACTTACATCACATTTCATGTGTCAACAGCCCATGTGGTTAATGGCTACCCTATTGGACTGCACGAATCAAATCCATCATCGAGAAAGTTCTATTTGCGGGGCTAGATGCTGAAGTGGGCAGGTCTCTTACATGAAGATGTTTGAACAGCTCCTCCCCTCACTTCCTCTCTCCTTTTTCTCAACATTGTGGCTTAGCATTGCCTTAAAGTTAGAGAAGGGAGCAGGACCCAGATTTTCTAGGTAAGAGAAAACGGGTATTTGGGGGAGGGGACAGAGGGTAACGTGATTTGGTGGAGAGAGGACCTCTCCCCTGGGTGTATATCTTAAACCTACCAGCATATTTGTTCTCAGAAAGTGTATTTCTTCTTGGTTCCTATTTCCTGTATTTGCTGATGTTAAGCTGTAAATTTGGTGGTGGTTGTTTTTTTTTAAGATCTTATTTATTTGGGAGACAGAGAGTGAGCTCATGTGGGCTCGTGAGAGAGCACCAATGGGGGGAGGGGCACAAATAGAGAAGCTGGTTCCCCGCTGAGCAGGGAGCCTGATGTGGGGCTGGATCCTAGGACCCTGGATCATGACCTGAGCCGAAGGCAGCCTCTTAACCAACTGAGCCCCCAGGTGCCCTGTTTTTATGTTTTGTTTTTGTTTTGTTTCATGTTGGGTTTTTTTTTGTTTTTTAGAGAAGGAGGGGGCAGGTAGAGACAGAGGGAGAAGGAGAAAGAGAATCAGAACACTAAACAGGCTCCATGTCCAGCGTGGAGCCCAACTGGGCCCTGAGATTATGACCTGAGCCAAAATCAAGAGTAGGCCACTTAGCCGACTGAGCCCCCCAGGGACCCCTGGATACTTGGTCTTCTTCAGGCAGTGGGAGAACTCAGCCACTAGGGCAGTCTTCTGTTTTCCCATCTAAACTGGGAGAAACAGCACAGCATTGCAGAATGAAGAGAGGGCCCAGGGGCATCTCAGTGGCTCGGTCTGTTGAGTGTCTGCGTCTTGACTAGGGCTCCGGTCATGATCTCAGGGTCCTGAGTCTAGCCCCGCATCGAGATCTGGGCTGGGCATGAAGCCTGCTTAAGATTCTCTCTCCCTTCCCCTCTGTACCTCCCCCAACTCACTTAAGAAAGATCTTTAAAAAGAGAGAGAGAGAGAGAAAGCCCACATGCCGGAACAAGGACCTTAAGAAACACCCAAAAACCTTTTGTTTTCCTATTTCTGTTATCCTACTTACTCCCTAACACCTATCACCAACATCAACTTTGTGGCCAAAGCTGACTTTAAAAAAGTCTGTGATTTCTCTTCTCAGTTTACAAGAAGCTGTTTCCTACTCCCTATCCATTAGAGATAAAGAAATAACTCTTCCTACAAAAGGAGTGTCTGTCTTTCTAATAATGTTTTAAATGTTTTGGGATGGCTTCTTATCAGATGAACCTGTCCTTAACAACTAGTATTTTCAGCCTGTCCTAGTCAAAGTCTGCTCCAGTGAGAGTTCTTTGTTAGGAAACAAAATTCAACCAAGTAAATTGGAAGATCCAATTGATTTTATTGAGCATTCATGAAGCAGGCAGCACCCCACCCTGCAAGTAGAGGGGCCCTCCCCTGAGCCACACAGAAGAAAGGCATAAAGGCACAGAGAGGACATTAAAAAAGAAGAAGAAGAAAGGAATTTATTAGCAAGGAAAGCATTGTTTAGGCACACTGGTTTCCTGGGGGGAGGGGTGTCTGGGGTCTGTCAGTAAATCCCTAGGATTCCTGGGGAAGGGTGCCCAGAAGCAGTACCAACAAAGCCCTCCAAGCATTTGCTTGTATAGAGAAAAAGGAACAATCTGAAGATGAGCCAATCTGGAGAGTGGAGAAGCTTTGGGAAATATGGGAGGAGAAAGCAAGCAGTAAGTTTACAGGGAAAAGCAATTGCTGGCCGGGGGAGGCTGAGGTTTCCACTTACTTTCCGTGTCCCTAAAATGACTAGTTGTGTTCCTTTCTGTGCAGGAGTTCCCGCTACAATGTCAGCCACGAAGTGTGGTGCATGCTCCAGCAAACCTGGGAGCCTTGGTGAGAGGGTGTTGGGGGGTCCCCTGTGCGGCAGGGCGGGGGGAGGAAGGAGACCTAGCAGGGGGTTCTCCTGAGCTGGCAGCCAGCCCTCATCCTTGCTGGAGCAAAATATCCAACCCCCATATCTGATTTCCTCTCCATTTACTTCCTCTGGACCCCCTGCACTTTCTCCTGCTACAGGGCCTTTCAGTGTCTCTTCCCCTGACTTGCTGCTCCCTCTCACTAGGCCTACAGATGCCCTAAGGATGTCCCCAGGTTGGAGTCTTCCATTGTCCTGCTAACTGAATAATCATCTGAACTCCCATCCACATTTTTTCCTTAGATAATCCTCACCATCCTGTGTTCAGTGTTCTTGGTTTCTGGAAATCTCCTTCTCTCACCCCAGGATTCTGGTGATCAGATGTGAGAAACTGCATCAGGGATGGTTTTGCTAATGCTCAGAAGGTGATGGGGATGATACCTACAGATTTTGTGGAAGGCAGAGTTGGGGGTTCTGCAATATCTCTCCTCTGTTTGCTATTTTTAAAAGAATATTCCAATTTACAGAGTAGACAGAAGGGGACAAAATGGAAGCAGAGAGACCAACTGGGAGCCTCCTTGGGAGGCATGGATGCCGATGGTAGCTTGAGCTGGTGTGCTGGGCTTCACAGTGGAGAGAAGCAGACAGATTTGCAGGTGGAGCCAAGAGAGGTTGCTGATGGGCTGGATGGGGAAAGGAAAGGAAAGAGAAGAATCAAGAGCAATGCCTAGATTTTTGGTCTGGGCAACTGGGTAAATGGCGATACCCTCTCTGAGAAATAAAATGGAGTTGTAATAGTGTCTGGAGTTGTGAGTGTGGTAATGTATGCATCACCTTCAAGCCGAAATGGATGGTTGTAATACAGGATTCCTCACGCAGGAACCAGACTCACTCAAGGGCTGGGCCAGCAGGGTCTGCCTTCTCGGAGAAACAGGCTCCCAAATGAGATTGCCCATTGTCTTCCATCCTGCGGGTCCCGGTTCTATGCTTAACAAATCCTGAAGCCCAGGACCCTATAGACACAGGAAGGAGATATGCAGAGAAATACTGAAGACAAATGCAGAAGAGCTGTATGGGTGATTTGGTGTTTCACTCAAGGCCCGGTTATTCTGAGAACAGGGTTTCTATTGCTAAGCTGTGCCGTGCTGGGATTAGCTGTCCACTTTCCTAGGAAGGAGAATGTGCTTCATCTAGTGGAACTAAGAAAGGATAACTCCACTGGCACTAACCTGTATGGGTTTCTTTCTTTCATTTTTTATCTATCAAGGGATTTTATAGTCACTTCAGCTAACTGTCACTATTTTCTGGCTATCATTCTTTAATGTATTAATTTCGAATGTAAAAAAAGTCACTAGATTCGAAGCTAAGGTCTTTAACTTGAAATGGAGGAATTTTGTCCTCTCTCAGGTCACAATCCCTAACAAGTTGGTCCCACACAGGAACTAGAAAGGGACGCTTTGTCTTTCTGCCCAGGCATCCCTATTGTACCCTGCCAGGACGGGATGGGTTGTAGAACCCCCCTACCTGGCTTCTGAATGGGAAGAAGAACAGTTCCATTTGGACTACAAACTGGGGGAGGAGCGCCCACAGAGACATCCCAAGGTCAGATTTCGAGTTACTTCCTGCATTGCTCCTATGGGGAAGAGCTACCTGCAGTAGCTCAGAATTCTCTTCTTGAGCTATTTTGTTTCCTCTTCTGTGGGCTACTTAGCTACAAAAGGTAAGAGTAAGAAGCTCCGCCGAATCCAGGAAAGTCCTTGGGCCTTCCCCATGTGCGGCAAGAGGAACATCAGGCTTTCTGTAGACTTTCAATAGGGCTTCTGTAGAAAGGCCTTCTGTAGCGTTCCTGTGAGTGCAGAGGTCGCTCACGGGAGGGGACCCTAGGGCAAGAGAGGAGGAGTGTGTGAGTGGAACAGGAGCCCTGCTGGGGAAAGGGCCAGAGGTCCATCCTAATGCCCTGGCTTTTGTTTCCTGATGTCCCAGGGCTTGGAACCCAAGACCACAGAGATGCACAACTGAGACTTGTCTTAGTGGGTAAGACTGGAGCAGGAAAAAGTGCAACGGGCAACAGCATCCTTGGAGAGAAAGTGTTTCTTTCCAGCCTTGCAGCAAAATCAGTCACCAAGGTCTGTAAGAAAGGGGGTAGCCGGTGGCAAGGGAGAGAACTTGTCGTCGTGGATACGCCTGGCATTTTCGACCCCGAGGTACGGGATGCTGACACTGGCAAGGAGATCGCTCACTGCATCCTCCTGACCTCCCCTGGGCCTCATGCTCTGCTCCTGGTGGTCTCGCTGGGCCGGTACACGCAGGAAGAGTTCAAGTCCACGAAGAAGGTTCTGGAAATGTTTGGAACCCAAGCTAGGAGATACATGATTCTCTTATTCACCCGGAAAGATGAGTTGGAGGGCATGAGTTTCCATAAATTCTTAGAGGACGCTCCAGACAGCATGCGAGAGCTGGTGGATGAGTTTGGGGATCGCTACTGCCTGTTCAACAATCGGGCGACAGGAGCTGAGCAGGAGGCCCAGAGAACGCAGCTGCTGGCGCTGGTCCAGCGCGTCATGGTGGAGAACAAAGGAAAGTGCTTCACCAATAAGATGTACCAAAAGGCCGAAGAGGAGATTCAGAAACAAGTCCGAGTGACACAAGATTTTTACAGAGCAGAGCTAGAGAGACGGATAGTGCAGATCAGAGAGGAGTTCGAAGAGAAAATCAGAAAGCTGGAGGACAAACTGGAGCAGCAGAAACAAAAGGAAGAAATGGAGCGAGAATTAGCAGAGAAGGAGGCTCTCTATGCTCTAAAGCAGCAAAATGCCAGAGATGAAGTTGAGAGTCAAGGTGGGATACTTGACTTAATCATGCAAGCATTGAAGATTGCTCAATTTGTTTTCTTACTTCTGTTTAAGGAAGATTAAACGGAATGCAAAGATCTATTTCCTGCATGTTTTCTGGTGGTCCTGCCCCCACAACTCATTCACCAAAGTCAGAGTGCTCTCAGCTGCGTCTCCCAGGCTCTCCCAACTAAGCGATGTAATAAAGTTCACTGTTACTGATCGGCAGAGGTTTGGTTGACTTAACAGGTGAGGGACAAATTGTCAGTTTGTGGGACTGCAAAGCAGAAAGTATGGATGCTCTCTACCTTGTGAATTCTTCAAAGAAGATGACCCCAAACTTTCTCTTTTGCTCCCTAGTAAAAGTTTCTCCTCTAGATTCTTCCTAGATTGCTGGATCATCTGCCTCTGTGACGTCTACTCCCTTATTTTCGCCTTTAGGACACAGTGATCACCTCATCCATATGGTTTGTTAGACAGATTGGTTTTGTGTTGGGTAATCTATAGATGGAGAGGCTTATAGAATTCTTTGCAGATGATTGGAAATTTGTTTAATTACATTTTTACAGAAGGACTCAAATTGTTCCTTATCAGCTGCCCATTGAAGAACAAAGAGTCGTCTGGAAAAGAGATCTCTCGGAACTCAACTAAGTGAAATGCCAGAGAGAGTGGACAACAGACAGAGATTCAGCACATAAGGGAACAACGTTTGCTGTGTTCAGACACATCTATAGCAGCTCTTTGACCCAATTCAGTGTAATATATTTGCTGAATTAACCAGTTCTCTCCTTTTCTTGTGAAACTCACTGTTGCTACCAACACCTTGATTACTTACTGCTTTGTAGGTCATCCGCACACTACCACCCCCCACCCAGTTGAATTGCTTGCTTCTTGTTACTATAATAAAACTTTTCTGTTCTCTCATACTTGTACAGAATTGGAGTCCACTTTTTCTTGGAAAATACCACTGCTCCTTCTTCTAAGAACACAGTGATGAGTTTCACTTTTTGGGTAAAAGTTCAATATGATTTGGGAGCTAGTCTTGGTCAACCCTCAAGACATCTCTCCTCCTTTTTCCTGGAAGATTCCAGCCACATTCTCAACCCCTCTGCCAGTCAAATACCACGCCACACACTGCCAGTCAAACACCTTGGATTGATTCATTCTGCATTGATAGAAATCATGTGTAACCAAGGTTTCAGAGACCTTTCTGGTTTTCCCAGTGCAAAAATTCCCCTTTAAGATATGAATAACAGAAGGAGGTGTCTGTATCCCTTTTCCACTGGGTACTTCTCACCCAATCATTTCTAGGGCTTCCCAAAGCACATTCCCATGTTCTACGAACATGTCCTGGTGGTCGTATGTGACTTGTGCCAACTCCCCTTGCTCTGCCATCTTGAAATTGGCTTCTCCACGCTCCAAGCCATTTTGCCCCAAGGGACATATACGTCTCCCTTATTTTCCCAAAACAAATATGATTTAGACTGTACATTAAAAAAAAGATTTTATTTATTTATTTGAGAGAGAGAGAAATTGAGAGACAGAGCACGAGTGGAGGGGGAGGGGCAGAGGGAGAAGCAAATGCCCCATTGAGTAGGGAGCCCAATGTGGGCTCCATCCCAGCACCCTGGTATCACGACCTGAGCCGAAGGAAGACACTTAACCGACTGAGCCACCCAGGGGTCCCTAGACTGTACATTTAATGAAAGTTAGCAAAGGCTTGAGGATAAGAGAAGCACAACACAAAGAAATTATCGAAAGAATATTGAAAGAATAATTCTCGAAATTATCACTCAGAGACAGATTTGATTTCACTCTACAGAATGTGGGTGCACTTTGAATCTACTGTTTTTATCATTGGAGTTTCAGCCAAAATTCCATTATGAATTTAACATCCTATTGTGTTACGACCTTCTGTAAGCAAATATTTAATCAAAGAGCCACATCTACCTCCTAAGAAAAAGGAAATACAGGTTCATGAGACGGGAGGCCCACGTGAAGTGCCCTGAAAGCAGTGTTGCCCACTTGTCTCCCAGGGCAGAAGGCAGATAGAAGGTCCTTGATAAATACTACCCATTGTGGTTCATCCAATAGGAGGATGAAACATGTGACATATTCCCGTCTCTTGAGGTTTAGGAGCCTATATCTATTCATCCACTCATTAACACTCATAGATTGTTTGACTTCAGGGTAGATTTTATACCATAAGAAAACACGGAGAATCTAGAGCTAAGTAAAACAAAGTCCCTTTTGAGACTGGTTTCCTCAGTATAAAGATTCTGAGAATCATCCAAGTGGTGTGTGTCCATAGCTTGTCCTCTTTTATTGCTGACTAAGATTCCATCTGATGGATGCACCACACTTTGTCACTTCTTCTGTACTTAGTCTTATGTCCCTAATTGTTTTCTCTCATCTCATTGCATTGGCTGAAACCTCTATCATGATATTGAATGGTAGTGGATGGACACACTTGCTTGGTTCCTGATATATCTTCACTGATTCCCAGTGGAGTAAGTGAGATGCTCAATTACAGTAGTCTATAATTTGTGTGTGTGTCATTTTCAGCAAGTATTCTCCAGCCACTTTTTTCTTGAGTGAACAGCTATTCTATTATTTATCATGAACAGCTAATCAATTTTGTCAAAGGCTTTCAAAAATCATCTATGGGAATAATCTTATGATTCTTTTTCCTTCTATCTATTAGTAAGGTGAATGATATTAATAGATTTTCTAATAACAAACCGATTTTTCATTTCTGTTTAAATCCTATTTGGTCATGATGTATCACATTTGACAGTGTGGTGCTGGAGTCTATGTGCTAATATTTTATTTGATATTTTTGTATGGATACTCATGAGAGATATTGGTTTATAGTTTTATTCTTTTGTACAGTGTTGTCAGGCTTAAGTATCAATACTATACTTCCTTTTAAAAATTTCCCTTCATTTCCAACGTTCTGGAACAATTTAAAGAGCCCTAGGACTGTCCGCACTTTGAAGGTTTGGAAGAATTTCCATGTCAAACCATCTGGTCCTTGCGCTTACTTTTTGGCGAGGTTCCTGGATGGCTTTCTCTATCTTCTCCATGTAAATTGGTCGATTTCAACTTTATCTCTCTAGTGGAGACAGTTTTGGTGATCTGTATTTCTCTAGGAAATTATCCATTTTGTCTAGGTCTTCACATTTATTTGCAAAGAGGTCTTAAATTTTAAAAATTCTCTAACTCAGGGGTCATTTCCTCTTATCATTTTGAAAATTTTATTTGTGCCCCTTTCCCTTTTTTTTTCTTGAAAAAGTAGTTTAATTTTTTTCAACAAACAAGAATTTTAATGTGTTAACTAAATCTAGTGTTTTGTATTCTCTACTACATCAACTCTTATTTTTATCCTTATTATTTCCGTATTTGTGCTTTCCTTTTGGTTTACTTCATTGTACTTCTCCAGTTTTCTCTTGAGGGGGGAATTGAACTGATTTATTTCCATTGTTTTTATTGAAGAAGTCTCAGGTGCTGTGCAATTTCCTTCCCTCATTTTTTCTTTTTTTTCTTTTTTAAGATATTTGAGAGAGAGAGGGAGCACAAGTGGGGTGGAGGGAAGAGGGAGAGGGAGAAGCAGTCTCCCCACTGAGCTTGGATCCCGACGCGGGGCTTGATCCCAAGGCCCTGAGATCATGACCTGAGCCGAAATTAAGAGTCAATTACTTAACCAAGTGCACCACCCAGGAGCCCCGGTGTGCACATTTTCTTAAGCATTATATCTCTGGTATAGATTTGTGAGAAGGGACATGAGATAGGGAACTTTTAATTTTATTTTTAATTCCCTTTGAGTTAGTAGCTGCTTTTATAGGAAAGATGCTTGGAGCAAGCTTATGGAAATGAGTCCCCTAAGACTTTAAGTCAATTGGTTCTTGTGGAGTAGTGTGGATAGCATTGGAAACAGCCTACATAGCAAAATTAAATGTAGACTACATTTAATATAAAGAGAAATTGTAAAAATTTTACTTTTACTTTTAATTTTTCTAGTCTTTCCTAGCTCCTATCCATTACTTCTAGGGAAAAACTATAACTAAATGTTTAATCTTGTTTAAAGCAGTCCAATCTGATCTGTTAAAGAGACCCTTTAGACAGGGTTCAGTCTCTCTATGTAGGTGACTTCAGTAACTATCCCCCAGCCACCATGTTCCTCTCCTTCAGTGGGGGATAGATGCCTACGTGACATTGGAACTTGTTGAGAAATTTGTTGTTTGACAGACAGAATTTGGGACACACATCTCATTGCTTTATTCTCCTTTCTTCCTCTCTGTTTTCTTTCCCCTGTAAGATGATGGAGTATTCCCAACTCCACTTATCTGGACATCTACTGTATAAAATGTTACTGCACAGCAAATGAGACCTGGACCTTGTCATGCCAGTTGGAGGAGTGATAGAATATAGACAATCCGTTCTAAAGAAACACCCTGGATTACAAGGCCGCCGGCTTTTAACAAAACCCTATTACTATTTCTTACTATCAGAAGCTGATTCTTCAGGTTTTTCTCTGTATTTTGGGAAGCATTCGCATGCGTCAGAGCCACCAGGAAGGCTTGCTAAAGTACAAAGTTTCTGAGAATCTGCATTCCCAGCATGCTCCCAGGTGCTGCTGAAGCGCTGGCCTGGGACCATACTTTGAGAGTGACTGGCCTGGGGCAAAGATTCTGTGATTGAATGGGAAAAAGGCAAAGTCACTTCAATAATGTTCAAGGCATTTCCCTCGTTCCAATTGTTACCAGCTGGATTCGGGGCACCAAAGACTCCTCCTCTCCGAGATTCTGATGGAAAAGCATCCACACACAGAACTAAACCAAATAGGGCAAAATGCCAGATTTCTACCAGAAGTCTAGGACTCCCGAGTCAAGAGAACTGGAGACCGTAGCAGGGACCAGAATCCAAAGTTAGACGTCTTCCTTCTTCTCCCTGAATGGAAGAGAGCTAGTTGCATCTAATGGGGCCGGCTGACAACCAAAGAGTTACAGTCTGAGATGACTCAGCTGGAAGTGCCCGGAGGAGAACTTCTTTGGTGTGCATATAGGGTGGAACAAGGAACCAAAAGTGCGGTCATGTCTGGTCACAGCAGGTTAAAAGGGAGCGAATACCATCTGTTTCCTGTTCTCTAGAAATAAAAATATTTAGCAAGTGCCTTAGGGATGCAGGGAATTTGGTGCACCGCCGTGAACAAGGAAGTTCGCCGCCCACTCACTACTGTGAGAGTATGTGTCAGCATATTGAGACGCAAGTAACTAAAATACTGGATATTAAATTAATACTTTGTCCCAGGCTTACCCAGCATTAAATAGGTATAAGTGTTTGGGGTTTGGTTTTGTCTTGTTTGAGAGCGAGAAAGAGAGAGAGCATGGGCCGGTGTGTTGGGGAGGGGCAGAGGGAGAGAGAGAATCTTAAGCAGGTTCCAACCTAGGGCTCATCTCCGGACCCTGAGATCAGGAAAACAGGTACAAGTCTTATTCGATGCCTTGGATGCGATAGGAAACATTCCCATAAGATTGGGTATAAGGTGAACCCTTACCTATGAATTTTTCACTGTGCTGAGTCCTCTCTTGTCCCTGTGGCACCACTGATTCTCCCCGAGCGTCCCTTCTCTGCATCCCGGGGAAGGAGCCTAGAAGGACATTCCCTATCATCCCTTCTCCCTTAGGTCCTGGTTAGAGTCTGCTAAAGAGAGGCACTCCCTCGAGATTCGGAACGTGGATGAGAAGGAGCACCATTGTCCGGAAGCCTTTGCAAACACACAGCGGTTGTGCTTCGAGGCTGACGACGTGAGAACCGCCTGGCTCAGCGCCCCAGTTCACTCCCCAGACCCTTGCATTCCCAGCCCTCCTGCGCTTGGGCAAGCCTCTCATTTCCTAGATGGACTTCAGTTTTCCCAATCAAATACTCTGTATAAGCGGTGGGA